GCTGCTGAATTTAAAACTCTGCAGGAACATCTACCACAGATAGAAGATCTCTTCATTTCCTAGTTGTGTGTTCAGTGGCACCCCAGTTCCTGAGTCCATGAGTTTAGACCTATTTCCCACTGCAATCATTTTGCTAGAAAAACAAACATTCCCACCCCCCCCAACTGATTATAATGGCTGGAATGTGACATCTAGTGGCTTTAATGAATATTACACTGCTAAAGACCTTTAAGTTCCTATGACCTGAACCTATTTTAAAAGTTTGTATTTCAGTGAGCTATAGCAGAGGGGGCCTAGCTGGTTTGTGTTCCACAAATGGCACATAAGCTATTGCAAAGACATTTGCTGGGAAAATCCTACTTGTTACCTTCTCTTTAGAGGAGAAGGCAAATGGTTTCTCCTGTGCTTTCACAAGAGGCAGGAGATAGAACTTAGGAGACAGTTTTCCTGCCAGGAGACAAAACTTAGAGCATGCTTCCTACTGGGGCATGTGTACAGTCCAGAATAAAACTGGGAGATGCTGCTCTTGGGGTACAAACAGTTATTTTCTGTCACAGTATTACCCAAGCAAACTAAGTTTAGGAATTCTTTTGCCACCCATGATCTCTTGTGATTTTAATCTATTTCTCAAAATTACTAAAAAGCTGTTGCATTCAACTGAGTTCGGATAGTTTTTATTACAAAGTTTAACTTTATAGATAGATGCAGAAAAACACATATGCAGATACAAATAAATTACTATGTGACATGGCATCCCTTTATATGATGCTTTGCTTCTATAATCAAAGAATTGCTGACAGATGTCTTAGTTTTATGTTTCTGAAATACTTTAAAGATGATATCAAAAGATGCAAAAAAACTAGATATCAAATCTGGGCATTTACTGCCTCTGGTGGTAAATGCAGGTTGATTAGTCTCATGTAGGTAAGATAATATCTAGGATCTTTACAACCTGAAAATTACTTAATGGTTTTGTTTCAGTTTTAAATATTTCAGAATGACGGGTCCTCATTGAAAAGATTCACTTGAAAGTTTTCACCATTAAGCTGACTTTAAAAGCGTTTCTATTCTGTGTATAGCCATCCTCAACACTGATCCAAGCCGTAACATTTTACATAAGCATAAGAGAAAAAAATATGACAGGGTTTACATAATGATTAGCAAAAAATGTGGAGGTGGACCATGATCTATATTTAGGAAGACACTGATTTGTTTAAAATTGTGTATCAAAACAAATGTAAAGTGGTTATAAAAGTATTGAAACAGAATTTGCCACTTCTTCAGGAAGTTGAATACAAATGTAATGCAATAAAGAATTCAAGGGTTTTGAGAATTATTTCCCCTGAAGCCAGAATGGTGAAGCACAAGTTATCCTGTTCACTTCATTGAATTACGTAACTTATTTCCAACTTCTCAACTCTTAAGAATTTTTTAGAACCTCAGTTCAAAGGTAGACAGATCAGTTCTGTTAGCAACATTCTTTCTGAGGAAATATTAGCAATATGACTTATATAACTAAAAGTTATATAAAAATTGATCTGGCTCCAATCTTTAAGTGATATGATTTAAGTACTTCATATATAGTACTTAAGTTTCAAGGTAAGCTACTGTCCCGTTTACAATATCATATTTTTATAAAAACTCTCTTATTGATTTTACTTCACAGAGCAAACATAAATTTTCAACTTATGTTGTTGCTTCAGGACTTCAGTATGGAGCTGGAGAAGGAATCTTGCATTACTTTTTTAAGGTAGACATCCAAGATAATTTTGAAGGTTAATTTAATTTCTGAGGATAAACTGCAGTGGAATGGAATGCATTTCTAATAGCTTTGGTATCGTAAATGTAATACTTCTATGAACAAAACTGATAATTTAATCCCTTTGAAATATGTTCTAGCTACAACGGAAGTTATTTCCACTTTTTTTTATCTCTAAACCTTTCTATAATTTTTCCCTAGTTTTCGAATAGTATCCCAGTATGCACTGTATAGTTAGAATATTTCTGCCATGTCAATGGGCTGCAGGAATTGGAAAAAATGTCTTTCTTTTCAATATTATATTCTTTTTTTTCCAGGTATTTTTTTATTTAGGATACAGAGTTCTAAAAATAACCTTTTTTTCAAGACCAAGGAGTATTGTGTAAAAAAAAGTTTCCTGTTTTTTATCCGCTGTTGGTCAGGATTTCTTAGAATTTTTTTCTTTGCTACAGCTTCTATTAATCATTCAAGAAACTGAACATTAAGTTCCTGAATACATAGGTTTGCCAAGCACACAAATATTCCTTTTTTCAGCTCTAGTTAAAGTAACCTTTTCCTTCTCACTTCACTCCCCATTTGTATTTCCAGATGGCTTGGCTTAGTGAGACTCCTGCAATACCTGTATTTGGGGATGGAAACAATTTTATTCCAACCATTCATGTTCATGATTTAGCAGCGTAAGTAGATAAAGTTTCACCTGGAAAGTAATTGATTCCTAGCAAGGTAACAAAACTAAATCTGCTAGGAGAGTACTGAGACTTTCAGATTTGGGGTTTTTAAGAACACTATTTGGCTCTTCTGCTTGAGTCGAACAGAGATTTCAGTTTCTTAAGTACTCGGTAGGCTTTCTGGAAGCCTCATCTCACTCACACTGGTGCTGTGCTTTTAAGAAATTACTAGCAATGCTGGAGCTAGAGCATAGTTTCATTTAACTGGCACAGAACTGGATCATTGGCTCTGCAGTGGCTTGCTTAATATTTTCTAGAGATACTGATTTTTATCCTTGAGACTCTTGGCCAAGTAGAAAATCTAGCTGTTCCTCTTATGAAGGAAAAAAAATGAAGATATCATGTTCTGAAAAGTTCTGCAATATGCTACATATCCTTTGTCTTTGGACTGTTTCTGAAACATGTTTAATGATAAAAGCCCAATCTGCTTCCCTAACTACTGTTACTTTGACTGTACTTGCTATGTTTTAGGGTGATACAAAACATAGCAGACCATAGGCCAAAGACTCACTACATAGTTGCAGTAGATGAATCTATGCACACTCTTAAAGAATTAATAAAGGTAAGAGATTTAATTCTTCTTTCAGATATTTGTAAGGTTTTGAAAGCTATACATTTTACTGAAGTAGACGTCTCTGGGTCTTCCTGAATTATCCTGTGTAACAAATGATATAAAAATTATTTTGAAATCCTGTAAGACTTCTATCCTTTAAGCAAAATGCATTACTTGGACCTGATTCTGCAGTGCTGACTTTAGCAAAAGTCTCGGTAACTTCAGTAGTAGTGTTACCTAAGAAAGCTCTGCTGAATTAGATTTTCTTATGGGATTCACAGTTCTGAACATTAGATGTTTAAAGTCTTTTTAAATGTTTTTCCCTTCATTTGGTTGGAAGATATTTTATTTTTCCAGGCATCTTGCAATAAAGTCCAGAAATAATCTGTATGACACTGTTGAACTATACACTGATAGTGAGTCTCAGAGAGATCAGAGAGGCAGATAACATGACAGTAATGGAGACTTGCCCATATAGATTGAGCAAATGTTCCATAAGGATCAACACACAGGCCCAATTTTTTGACACTGTCAGTGACTCTTGCATGGAACAGTCTGTTAGGGAGCCCACAGGAAGATGCAACCTTTGTCTTGGTTCAGGTAAATGTACAGGGTCTCATTGAAAAGCTTAATACTTGAAAAGCCAATTTGTTTAAGTGACCATAATGCAATTAGTCAACATTCCTTTGGAAGAAACAAAGGTCAAAATATCCAGTGCAGTTATGGTCAACCATAAGAACACAAAAAATGCACCTGTTACAGAGAAAAAAGGATAAAAAAGGCTGAAAAGATTAAATTCTTTGAGGAGGCTAGAGGCTATTGAAAGTTATGTTATTAGAAGCACAGGACCATTGCATGCTACCCGTAAAGAAAAGCTTGAGAAAGATAAAATGAAAATTACCGTGGTTGAACTGTAGGCTGGGGAAACAAGGTAGCAGCCTTCAAAAAGTTGTAGTTATGTCCAGATGAAGAAAATAGAAAAGATCATAAAATCTGGCAGAATACGTGTAAGAACCACAATAAAGTAGGCCCAAAAAAATAAAAAAAGTTGAAGATTAACTATCAAAATGAATAGTCTGTCTTCAAACACTTAAAGAACAAAAAGCCTGCCAGAAAATCTATAAGGCCAATTGATGGCTGTAGTATAAAAAGAGCACTTAGAGAAGACAAGACCGTAGCAGAGATGCTTTGCATTAGTGTGAATGGATAAGAATTTGGAAACATCTTAATGTTGCAGGACCTCTTTCTGGATGACTCATTAGAGGATCTGTATAAAACTGAAGTGACTGTCAAAAAAGCTATAGAATGAATTAACAAAGTGAACACTAACAAATCACTAGAATCTCATAGTATTCACCAGAGTTATGAAATAACTCAAGGCTGAAATAACTTAATTGCTAATTCACACATACAACCTCCTGCTTGGCATTATCCTGGCACTTGAAGACTGTTGCATGATAAATGTGATGTCAATATAAAAAGAAAGGTTCCTGAAAGGTTTAGGGAATTACAGGCCAGTACGCCTAATACCATTGGCCAATAACTAGGTATGTTGTTAGCTTTCAAAACAGTGCTTCACCAAAAGCAGTTGAGAAGCTGCTTGGCACCCTAGGAAAAGAGAGTGGGTTTTTTCTTGGGAATGTGATTGTTTAAAGGATATGAAATAGAGGGCAGGAATAAATGGACAGTTCTTGTGGTGACAGGAAGTTACCAGTAGAGTTCTGCGGAGAGTTACCTTGGCTGGGAGCTATACCAGCCTGGGGGAAGACTGGAGAAGTGTATGGGGGAGAAATACCTTGAGCGTTACTAAATACACAGAATCTGGAATTTTTAGACATGAAAATAGCTAAAGGCTAGGAGAGTATTAGGAGGGAATATCATATGTGCTTTGCTTTTTGTGTTCTTGCTTTCATTTAGGCATCCGCTAATGGCCACTATTGGAGACAGATGTAGATTTGATCTGGTCCTTTAAAGCCATTCTTATGTTTTTATGAAATCTAGTCATTTTTTTAAAGCTATTGCTAAAGGGCTATAGGAATAACTAACAACTTATCTATCTACTGATGCAATGAAAATACTAATGTAGAGAGTTATCGGTATTGTTCCATTGACCTCCAAAACTTTTCTGATTCTCAACAGAATTAAATACTTCAAGAATCTGATATGGAAGTGCTGGGAAATAAAATAGGTCTCCAATTAGATCTTGGCAGTAGGAAGTCAAACATATATTTAAGAGCTTTGGAACAGTTGAGGTTTTTAGTACAGAGGGCTTGATGTATAGCGAAACAGAGGTATTTAATACTAATATTAAAGTTAATATCGTAATGTTGGTATTTCAGATCAGTATACTGACTTTTCAGGTATAGTGTAACATAACATTTAAAAGACAGATACTATCCCCAGAAATTCCTTTCCCTTTTTCCAAAGAATCTGAATTTATGTATGTATTATGTATTTTTTTTTCTTGATAGTGTGTTAGCAAAAATGTTGGACCTGGAAAAATTGAGATGATTCCAAGAGAAAATGCATTCTTGAGCAAAGAGTTAACAGTTAGTATTTTTTTTCTTCTATTACTTATGGAAGGGATATACACTTAAAGTATAGTATCGTGAAATGTATTCTTTCCTTATTTATTTCAGTACAAAAGTATAAACCTAAAACATAGCTTAAAAAGTATCAACAGTATGTTTAAACTTACGAAATAAATGAACTGAAAGTTTAACTATCCTTGAACAGAGAATTTTGTGGAGTTGCAGCCTGATCTAGAAAAAAAGAGAAACACTGATGTCACTGCTGCATTGAGCATAGAGGAGCACTCTTAAAAAACCTATACAAAATCTTAAAAACAAACAAAAAATGTTTAAAATGAGGTGCTACTAAGGCTGATGAACACAGCACATGTGAATTATGTTATATTCATATATTTATCTGGAATACACTGTTCATAGGAGAAAAAAAAAAGATCTCTGCTAGTTTTAAGATAATACTTGATAGATTTATGAACAAGATTGTTTCCTGCAATAATATGGAACATCTGTATAGTGCAGAATAACTGCTCAATGGTTACTATTCCAATAATTGATGAGACTACTTAAATATAAACGTACATTGAAAAATCGTTAAATTTAAGAAACCTTAAAATTTCTGTTCTGTTTTGTGCAAAAGCCTTCTTCTTCTATGCTTTTATTCTTTATGATCTCTCCAGTCCATCCCAGTCTTCAGTTTAAGATAATCAACATCGCCCTTTTAATATTGCCCTTTTTTCAATATAGTTGTATAATTTTTGTATGCCTAAGTCTGTAAAACAAATTGTACTTTGCTCCTCCAGCAATCACATTTGGATATGCTGCTTGTGAACCTACGAATAGAGGCTATGTTTCTAAAAGAGAATTTCAACATTAGGTGGATTGCTCAGACAGGATTGGTGGAGAACATTGAAGAAATCCTCAAAGAATACAAGGAAAGTCGAGGATTACTGGTAATGGTTTGGCATATGCTATTCTAAAATATTCTCTTCTTTTTCAAATAGAAGTGTTTATATGAAAACATACTTCTTTAAGTAAAAACATTTGGAAGACTGACAGAGAAGCAAAATAAGGGGGTATATAAACTGAAAATTAAATCACAGTGTAAAGGGAATACTAGTTAAAACAATCAGCTGCCCTTTTTTTTTCTGTTTTGCCTAAAACTGAAACCTTTTAAATGAAAATAAGCTTCCTGATGGAGAAGCTGCTGCTCTCTGGAACTAGTTTCTGTATGCAAAATATATGACATGCCTGGTATATTTTGCTTTTAAAATGCAATAGGTTTATCTCTTTATTGAAGCTTTTTTAATAATAGATTCAGTAGTTAGGAGAGTATTGTGTGTCCTTTGTTATACTTAGTGAATCACAATATTCAACTGCATACAGCGATCATTTTACCCACCTCCATTGTGTAATGAACTGAATAACTTTGCTGTTTTCTGGTACCTGAATACAGAACTTCTAACTATTTAGCTATATAGGGAAGTAGTTATATAAAGGTACAGGAAAATGCTTGCATTCATACAATTTTTGCTTGTCTTTGGTGTGATAAAGCTGTTAGTATCTAAATCTAAACTTTGATGGGTTCAGGAGGTGTAAAACAAAATACAGCTTACATTGTTTGTTGAAAGTTGTTCACTGAAAGTACCTGCATACATCAAAAAGGATTTTCAGGTCTGAGTTTGGGTTAAACTGCTGCATCTATTTGTATATGTATGTATATAATTCAAAAAATTCAACACAAAATACAGGCATGGCAAGTAGGAGACAAAAGGCTGGGTGGATCTCTGCTAGGCCACTACCCCATTGAAGTTTCAGTTTGCACTGTCGGGCTTTCTGAATCAGGACAGCAAGTTTATCATGTATGCTTTTGAGTTATGTTGTTGCATAGTATATTTACTAAATGTATGAATACTGGTTACAGTTTTTCAATCTCTAGCAGGACAGTAAAGTGAAGAGATCGTTAGTAAATTGGAATTATGATGGGGCTGAAATTTTTAAAGTTAATATGATAACTGGAATTCTATCTGAGTTGGGAAATGGAGATGCTGTATTTGGATAGTAAAATATCTGCCATCTCATTCCAAAATCCACTGTGTCCTGAGGTTTAAGACATCTTATTTTTTTCTGTTTATGGAGTCATGTGTTGTCCCTCTTGATCATTCAAACCCTAATAGTGCTACTGTAAGTCGGTCTGTGAGTTTAGTAAATAGAACTATACTATTTCTTCAAAGGTTAAATTGTACCATTAAATTAAATAACTATGTAGTTGAAAGTCAGTGGAAGCTATAGGAGATATGCAAGGAGATGATAAATACTTAGTGTAAAATAAATTAAAATATATTTTCAGCTTTAATTATTTAACAATAATTATTCCTATTAGTTTCAGGGAAAGGAATGTTCTTTTGAAGTAAAATTATCCATTTTGTTTGACCAATGTTAAATTTTTATCTTTCTTTTCCAGCCTCTCAAAATTTACATTCATGGTCCTCCTGGAGTTGGGAAATCTACCATTGCTGAAAACCTCTGCAAGCACTACAAGCTACATCACATCAAAATAAAAGATGTGATTTCTGAAACAATAGCAAATCTGGTATGTTACTAACTATTCTCTAGTATTGTTATTATTTTAGTCTCTGTGATTTTAAAATGTTGGGTACCATTTTAAAATTAATTAGAATTCCATGATTTAGCAGCTTAAGAGTCACCATAGGAAACAACCATATCCAACACAAGGTATTGAGAAATGAGAATATACTAATTGGTTTGTAAGTTTGGGTATGGCTGTTGACATTACTCACTTTCTCACTTTTCTGAACTTAAAAAACCTAAATGGATTTAGTAATCTATTTTAAAATGGAAAGATCTTTTGACATGCTATCACCTCTGGGGGATGCACTCAGGTCTTTTTAGTGGTTGCAAGTTGTTCACTACCTTACTGTACAGAAACATATTAAATTAAGATATAGACTGGAGTGGACTGGGGGGGTAGGGAGCAGTCCTTTTATTATATCTGTATATAAAATGAAATTTAGCCTTAGTATTTCTGAGTCTGTTCATATTGTTGTCTTCAGGAGAAAATTGTGGCTCTCAAAGAAATAGAAGCAGACGATGTAGGAGAAGAGGGAGAAGATGACGAAGAGGAGAGTGAAAATGTAGAAGCAGCACAAGAGATATTAGATGGAATAAAAGAAAGCATGGAGCAGAATGGGAGCAGAAAACACCAAGTATTAAAATGGGATTTAGGTAACTAGTGCAACACTGTACAAGTAGCAAGTCATGCAATAAATTTGTCCCTTGGAACTTGTAGATCCTTTTAAAAGCAAGAATCCTGCCTTCTCCATTTGTGTTTACCTTATTAAAAATTCAAATACAATTGTGAAATTATACAACTATATTGAAAATGGTGTGTAGCTGAATATGTATAAGAGATATCTTAATCAATTCAGCTATTAAAAGCTATATGTATTTAAATACTCTGGTGATCTGTTTTTTATACATTTTATATAATTCTTTTTACACTATAAATTGATAAATAAGTAACGACTGAATATTCAGAATCTTTAGATTCTTGGCCAGTTCTTTTTATTACATCATGTTTACTTCTCAGAACTGAAAACACAATTAATGTAATGTGAAGTAAAATGGTAGTGAAATATTTATCATAATTGCAAAGCAGAAAGCATATTCCAGTGAGAAAAGCAGTTACTATGCAGTCATATAAGATTGTTTTTAAGTTCTTTGTACCTCATTTTGGCCATCTCCAAAGAGTAAATAACAGTTATTCAAGCCTGTAAAGAGTTGTAAAGTCTGCAGATTGAAAAACTGCCATAAAAATTGCTGTTACTCAAAAGTACTAGTTATTGTTCATGTATCAACCAAAGTCATGTGGTTTTTGACTTCATCTTAACATTTTCCTTGAGCGATAGCCCTTAAAAAGCATTCTGTCACTGCAATTTTACCTGAATAGCATCAAATGTATCTGCAAGGCAATGTACTTGTAACTCACCTGTAAGTTTTGGTAATGAGACCTATGGCAGTATCTCTTCTGCATGCTTTGCTTTACTGTTTAAAATAATAACGCCTTTTAAAATTGTAAATTACTTTTATGGTTACAACGGTTTATAAATATTTAGTTAAGCCTTTCAAAAGCTGAAGAATAGGAACCTGGGGTCAATAGTTACAAGAGAAGGAAAAATCAAGCTTTTTTTGTCACATGTTTGCTCAGCAATGTAGACCAAATTAATAAACCACCTCATACCTCAGTCTATTCATCTGAAAGTGAAACCTGTAAATCTTATTTCACATTTGTATTGCAAGGCTATTTTTAAGTCTTATTGTTTATTGTAGATATAAAACATGCTTGCTTTCTCACTTGTGCGGGGGTTTTTTTTCTTATAAAAACCTCCTTTATTTTTCTATTCAAATGTGAAGAAAGTTTAAAAATGCTTGGTACCCTATTGCATTATTCTAAAATACTAGTTCTTTTTTTTAGTATCCTTAGAGTTCTAATATTTATATATTTGTAAACACAATATTAAGTTTAATTTATAGCTACACACTATGTAGATCTCTAACAACATGAAACATACAAATAGTTACTCAAAACGTGTAATTATTTTTAGAGCCTGAATAAACGCTTCTCTGATTAATTAATAAAAATGTTAGTGAAATAATTTCGGATATCTCTTTTCTATAAATCAGGTACATATTAACTGTTTTTGTGTTTTAGGTCATCTAGATGATCAGTATGTTATTAAATTCACAAAGGATAAGCTTAAAACTATGCCTTGTAGGAATCAGGGATATGTTTTGGATGGGTTCCCAGAAACCTATGACCAAGCGAAAGATCTTTTTAATTGTAAGTACTGCTGGTCTTGTTTTTACTCTTGTTAATATTGTCATTATCATTATATTCCTCATTGCCATATTAGTTGAAATGTGTCAACACTGCAATGATTGCTGTGCAGGACACACAAAATACTTGTTCTCACAGGCTACTTGAAATTTAAAAAGGATTGCAACGTACCCTGTTTAATTTAAGCAAGATATTTTTCAGACTATCTTTGCTGGCAAAGTCATAAGTATATGTATGAATATGGAGGACACTGTCTTTTTTTGTGTTGGACTACTCCATCTAAGCAAGCTCTAAGGCAGAATTTCTTCATAATGTTCAAGGGCCTCTTAACAAGGGGATCTAGCCAGTATGCCAATACACGTTCTATGGGCTAGATTAGGGTGGGTATCTCACCTTCAGTGGATATGACTTCAGAGGAACTCTGCGACACACACAATCAGTAATTTATTGTTCAGACTCTGTGCAAGCAGAGACTCTGTGCATTGGTACCAAGCATTATCTACATATGTAAAGTACAGCATGAGGTATTAAAGGAAACAAAAATCAGTTTTGTTTATTTTAACATGCTGGATTGTAAATTACCATGTTCAGCTTATGCTCTTCAGGCACCAGAGCTGGCTCTTCAGCTGGAGAAGAGCAGACTACTTGGAGGCAGACACCGTTTTAACCATACTTCTGTAAACGGTTTCTACTCTCTACTCAGAGCCTGACTCTATTCTTAGCAGGAGAATTTATGGGACAGGAGGAGAGAACAGGGTCAGGACAGTGGTATGGACACATTTTAAAATTGCATATGTGTATACTTCTGCTGTATAGGAGAATAACTATTAGTGTCCCATAGTAGAATTTTGTGGCAACTGGCAGCATTAATGACCTCTTTAAACCAGGGCCCAGTTTAGATTAATTATCAAACATTAGCATAATTTGAATATATACAAATCTGTATTTGTACTGGGCACCTTTTTAGCAAATACAATTCCATTATTGCTTCAAATGACAATGTTAATTTGTTCTTACTTTTGTTTTAGTGGAAGACGAAGATGAGGAAGAGGAAATTAAAGGCAAAATACCTAAATATGATAAATTAATCACACCTGGTAAGTTTGACAGATTTTTATAAACAGGAGTTTTCAAGTTATTGCTACCAGCAACAAGAAAGCCGAAATACCACTCCATCTGTCCACATTTCACTTAACATAAAAGAAATATCTAATGCATGTTATGCTACTGCCCATTTATTTGAAAGTGAACAATTAGTCAAAAGGAAGGTTTTGATTTGCTTTGCGGGTGGCTTTTTTTTCTTGCTTTCTTTTTGTGAAAATGCCATCAAATGCTGGCTTATACTAATAGTAGTTGCTGCCTTTGTTGTGATTACAGCAGCTACTAATGGAATAAACATGAGGCCCTGAACTTGGCATATTAAAAAACCATAAGTTTATCTTTAGCCTTTTATACAGTTCTTTGTACTGCTTACTATGATATCTTGAAAGATGTTACCAAATTGACTTTAATGCACCAATTAAACTGGGAAATAAAAAAGAGTGGTTTTGATCTATGCAGAAATGGCTGTTTCCTAGTGTTTTTACTCTTTTTGATTTCTTTGTAATTTTTGATTACATCTGAACAACACATTAGGCATATTTTGTGTTATAAGAGGCATACACTTAAACATTGTAAAGGTTGAATTTCTGAAATGCTTAGTCTTTTTTGCAGCATAGCAATTTAACGGCTTCAGTGAAAGTGAAGAAAATCCAGAACTTTCTGAAAAATTCCTTAGTCCTTGCACTTATGTGAATGGGACAAAGGTTTGATTCAAAAAGTAGACTTCTAATAAGATTTTGACCACTTATGAGTTGCTGAAGTAAATATTTTATTCATAAACAGTGATACTTTTAGCCAACATTTTGAAAGAGAAAATGTGAATTATTATGATGGGCTGCAGAAATACCACTTTCTCTCCTGTAACAAAGACTTCAGATATGGGATCTGTTTTAAGAAGGCACCTTCTCAACCCTGGAGAAGAATTGTTTTAGAAAACGGAATGATTTGGAAATATTTTTTTCTTTTTCTTCTTTCTTTTTGGGGGGGTGGTTTTGGGAATGAGGGCTATCTGTGCTTAAGTCTGTAAATTTCTCACTGATGTCAGAAGAATGATTTCCTAATTTTCGTTTTTCCCCATTATCAAGTTTCACTAATATTAATGATATTAGACAGAAATATAAGGAAAATATTGTTACAAAATTATATGAATTCATGTTTAATAAAGCACAAATTCTTTTGATTTTTGAGTTGATAAAATAGAACAAGATTAAACCTAATGACACTATAAATATGAGACTTTTGAAGTGTAGTAGGGAGACTGATCCTAAATTTTATGGCATGTGGCATAGTGTGTTTAAGGCACTTTTTGAATTTATTTGAATTTACTTCAATTCAGCAGAGATACCTTTGTTTATGAGATTAAAAATCACAGTATAGGGTAATCAAATTTGACAAATGAATTGTTAAATTTTCCAGTGTCACTTGCTCCTTTGGCTGCACTATTCATTCGCATGATATTTTTTTCATCTCCCATACTAATTATTTTGGCTATTCTCTACAATAGTTTCTCTGAGACTTTGGACCACATTGCATTTTTGTTCCTCAGATTCTTATGCTTCTTATTTCAAGAATTGTCTTGTTCATAGTGCTGAGAAAGAATCTGGTGAAACTGGGACGTGCAGCTTCTTTCCAGACATGTCTCCTCTTAATAAATACTGGTCGATTGTCTAAATGGAGATGTTGAATATAAGGCATTTCATAATGAACTTCTGTATAAAGACAGGCACAATTTACGTCTGCTTAGGTTAATTTATGGTTTAAAATAGTTAATAAGGAGGAAAAATAATAATAAATGGCACCGTAATTAATTCTCAGAAAATTTGTTCTTCTTCACAGAATTTGTTATTTCTTTGACTGCATCTGATGAATTCCTTAAAAACAGAATAATAAATCTCCCAGAGAGTGTTGTTGCTGGAACTCATTATACTCAGGACGAGTTCCTGAGATCTCTTAATCTCTTCAGAGAGTTAAACACAGAAGATGAGACTGTTCTCAACTATTTTGATGAACTTGAAATACATCCTCAGATTATTGGTATGAAATAATAAAAAAAATTACATACGCTGTTTAGAAATATAACATTTTTCTCTTCTGTCAGGATAATATAGTAAGTGTACATATATAAACAATATTTCTAATTAACATTACTGAATAGATATACAATAAGCATTTAAGAATATCTCCAGATATATTTGTATGCCCTTAAGAATTCTGAGTGGTGGTTCTCATTGCTTCAAACAATTGATCTGTTTTAAATATTTGCATTTGTTCATTTTTATAGGTTAAATAACCAAAATAATTTTCTGACATAGGTTGCAGGCCTCTACACTGGCATATTTCTGTATTGGTGTGATAGTATATTTCATGGAATTTCAATGCTGAAATTGCTTTTTTTTTTTTTTTTTGATTTAGATTTATCCTCAGATGCTATGACAATATATGGGTAATTTGTAATAGATGAAGTATGAGAGAAAATGATTAGTGACTTAAGGCAAAAGTCTTGTACTGCATCTCTTTTGTACTATACCTGTATGTAGGAAAAATTTTCTTACTTACACACTATACAAAAAATCCTGATCTGTCTGATCATTCAAAATAGTCTGTACATTCAAAACAATAAGAACAGGATGGCAGCACTCTTAAGAAAATTCGTTTTAGGCTATGGAGAGGAGGAAAAAAAAGAAAGAAGGGAAGAACAGGGGGAAAACTGTGGAGCTAGAATCAAACTGCCAATATTAAGAATGGCCCTGTTTGAGATAGGCTATGAGAAGTTAATAGTGGAACAGCCTTAATGACAGAGTTCCTCTTTTTTTTTTTTTTTATGCAATGTCAATCATTACAGATATTATCTTGAGAATAATACCTTACTTGTGTTGTTAGGAAATATAGCTGTAGACAAAAATGGTGTGTTAATATGATGATTTTAGATTTAGAATTCTTCCTGAATTACACTTCCATCTTTCCCCTTCCAAGTATCCAGGTGGATATTATAGATCTGTCAAGTGATTTTTGTATTCCGTCCCGCTTATTCTCTCATGCAGTTTTCCACTAAAATCTATTTTACCCTTTTCCAACTCATAGAAGGGAGGAGATAAGATGTAAATATTTCTTTGGCTCTGCTCTCTCCAGCTGATGCTGTTGTTTTTCATATCAGATTTAGTATCAGATTTAAACAGACTTAACTGTTTTCTCAGTCATATCCTGAAGGAAGTTGGCTGGTTTTACTGACTTTAGTGGGGATTGGTTGAAGAATTGTGCTTGATTCTTTAAATATTGATTTGAATTAATCAGAATTTACTTCCCTACTAATTTTAGAAAATCATAACATATGGCCTTATGAATCGCTTTTTTATTATTTTTTCTAAATCTGAAATACAATTAGTACAAAGGAGTGGGCTTGAAGATTCTAGAAACACTTATTTTCTATAGTGACTCATGAATTCTACAAGTCAGTTATCTTTGTGTCTTGTTTTTCTTATTTGGAAATTGCGAGTGGTGACACAAGCATTGTTAGATCTACAAAAAGGAATGTTAAAATTATTGCAGTACTTTACTTTGAAAATTTAATTTATGTCCTCCTTTTTTTGGTGGTGGTTCCTCTCGATCAGGGTCAGTGCTAACCTTATTTTTTATTTAAAGAAATTTGTCTTTATAGATATGCAATTAATTATGATTACTGTAACGTTTGCATTGAAATCTTGCTTGGCCACCTGAGAAAACATTGCCGTCTTTGAGAGCTTAAATTCAACGCCGAGTTCTTAGTGCTTTAAATGACTAGAAAATATTAATTTAAAGTATTTCTAACAACTCAGTGCAAAATAGTTTGCACTGTAATTCACATATCCAGGTGCAGCTAAAATTACAGAAATAATGCACCGCTTGACATAGAAAATTTAATATTATTTAATATTATTTTAATTTGGAATACTTCAGGAATGAAATTCCTGATTTTTGGAAAGAAGAAACTAAAAAAGAAATTTTATCTTGTAGAGCTATGTTATCTTCCTGCCTTGGGCAGTTAGCAGAGTTTGGACCTCAGGTCCAAATCACAACTGCATCATCTCTTGGAACAATGGCATTAGTAATGGACTCCTGTCTTCTGTCAGAATTAGTGCTTAGAAAGAGATGAGAAGCATACTTTGCCAATGGCTTTCAAAATAGCTTCATAAAGCAGAGAAATGTATACTAAGGACTACTGAATTCTAATCTAAACTATATAATCGACTTCTGCTTTTTCCTGTTCTTCTGCTTGCTCTCCTAACCCATTTCTGTGCCTTGGCAATCCCAGTCCTTTACCGCCAAGCCCTTTACCTCTATTTTTTTTAATCTCTGTGTGCCTGAAATCTCCTCTTTTCTTCTTTTCCATGTATATTTCTATACCCCTTCTGCCAGATGTCTCCATACTGAATACATGCAGAGCCCAGAAAGCCTTGGAGACAGTCTCCATTTTTCTGAATAATTTTGCAAGTCTGGTGCCCAAATAGCCTCCATCAGTTAAAAAAGAGAAGGAATAAAATGAAAGAGATCTTGCTAAGTCCTTATGCTGCTGGGTGAAGCTATAGATTGGCTTTGTAGGTATAACATAGTAAGAGTTAAACTAGAGATAGGTCTACGTAGCTCTAAAACAGTGCATGAATGAACTGGGAGAGTTTGTTGCCAAATTCTATTAATCTATTGTGTAGCCTTTGGGCCAGGGCAGGTCGGATTCGGAAGCTTCCATTTTCGTAAGTTTGGATGAGCTGCCATAAGACTGGCTAAAGGAACATCTCTGATGCTTTGATGACCTCATTTTCAAGTTTCAAAACGTAGGCAAGCTACAACTGCTGAACAAAACAGTTTTAAAAATTATTTTAATAAATTTCTTCCTAATATCATCTTAAAAAGACAAATTATTTTATCTGAAACTATTAAAGAAACTCAGGCACAGAAAATTTCATGTTATATAGCAGAAAACGGACAGTTACAGACACCTGAAAACAGCACCTTATAATGGAAAAATCAATGTGGACATCATATATTGTTTGTTAGGTCTTGTAGTCATTTGCTAGTGATCACTGATGATTGACAAAAGCCCTAAAAAGTTATCTCTTGTATTGTTTAAAAGATGTAGCCAAATTTGAAGATCCTGAGAATAGAATTATTGTAAAAGAGATCATCAGAGAAATTGGAGAACCTCGGAATTATGGTTTGACAGATGAAGAAAAGGAAAAATTAGAACGCAAAGCAGCTGAGGAACGTCTTGCCAAAGAAGCTGAAGAAGCAGCTGAGCGAGAGCGTAAAGAAGCTGAGGAAACAGCTGAAAGGAAGGCAAAATGGGAAGAGTGGGTAGGTTATTACACGTTTCAGGGAAGCTATTGTTATTTTTGGGATTTAAAAAGTAGAAGTAATGGGGCTTCCAGCAATCTGTTATGCTTGGAAATGTGGCATATGCTGTTATACTTGGAAAGTATGGCATATACTCTCTAGTTCCTTACATCGTACTTTAGATTTGGCTCAGAATACTTTTATGGTGAGGCCCTAATTAAAGAACGTAGTCCTTCTTCAATTACAGACGTAGTATCGTTTGCATGTTTGTATCAGCATATGTTTAAACTAACTTTTATGATCCACCTCTTGTTGCTGTGTCACAGCTCTTTTATTTTACTGTTCATAATGATCTGCTATAATCTGCTGTTAATTTTTTACAGTGATGACTTTCCTTAACCAATCTTCTAGGAATTTTATACTTAGTCCACTTTATTTCTATGGAACTGACAGTCTAAATTATCATCCTTATGACTTCAGTGAGAAGTATTGAGGATGTTAGGTATGTACAGTGCTTAAACCCTAGTCTATGAAAGTGGGATAGATCAGTGAGACATCTGGCTTAGTCTTGTGTTTCTGACAAAGGCAGTATCATCTATTAAGAGGAATGATAGGCAAAAAAGGAGTTTAAAAGTTTCCTTATAAATTCCACCAGTTAGAAACTGGAAGATTCCCTGATGCATGTGAACTGGTATTTCTTCAGGTATTCCTGGGTGGATGGTTTTTCAGTCTTTAAGTATTTACTATTATAATTTGCTATACTAGTATTTTCTATATAATTATCAAATAATTTATAGAAAGTCTAAATTCAAGTAAGAGGTGCTTTTGCTCAGATTTCCTTGACATACTCCATCCTCTGTCATAGCGAAATTGTGTTTAGCCTTTGAAGAAGTCTTTCAAACAAGATTTAACTCAGCATAGTCTAATCAATGTTCCAGTTTGCACTGGAGCTCTCTGCACTCCCAGTCTACAGGAGAAACACCTTTAAGAGCTAAGCGGCTTTTTGGTGAGGAATATCTGATGCGGTCTGAAGGATGCTTTTTTTTTCCTAATACTTTAATAAACACTTAAGTCAGGTATTTAGGGGACCTGACTTCACAAGATTTGCACCTGATGTTTTCCCTATTTACTTTGCCATACTTAAGGGCATTTTAGGTAAATAACCTGAAATGCACACTATGATAATTTCTTTGCTCTTACCCAAAGTCAGGCTGCTTCACCAGAAGGCAGCTCTTCTGTCGTTTTCTTTTAGGGATATTTAAAATAAACTGATCATTCTATTGAGGAATTCTTTTCTTTCATTTGAATGTGCACACACATCTATGGGGAAATAAAACCCTGGAACTGCTCACTTTTAAACAAGCTTCTATGTTGTTCTGATGCTGGCTTGTAAATACAAGAGTTTTCTTTGTTATCTCTATGCTTATTTTCAGCTTCATTCAAGATTAAATAGCATTTTGTCTTCTCCATAAAGATTGTCTGAAAGGTTAGCAAGGGTAGTTAACACATTTTTATCTACATTCCATTCAAAGCCATCTGACTTTAAGAAAAACAAACTACACGTTATTTGAAGATAACATAGGTATTTAAATAAAACCTGTTCTTAAATAGGCAGGCACTTAAGAAATCTAAGCAACTATTCATTTACCCTTGAGATTGTAGAATAGCTGCAGTGTCTGGGTAGAGTGACCAAAAACCAGATGGTTTATTGAATATCACTCCGAGATTGAATGAATCCAGCAAATCTCTTTTCAGACATTCATCTATCAGTGTTATTGGAACAGGGCTTTTGTCATCCTTGAGTATAGAAGAACAGTCTTCAGATTTTTCTCTGGAGTCTCTTCTGCTTGCTGTATCTATGACTCAGGCTGCTGTTGAATACAATTAGAGAAGAGAGGACAATAAATATTTGAGTAATCTTCTGGCTAAAACTATTGCAAGTACACATGCTATTAAGTGCTATTAAATAGAAGAAAGGCTAACTCAAGGATTTTTTTTTTTTACCTTCTACTTTCTGAGTGTAATAATTGTATTGAATTGGATGGGAATAGAAGAATTTGATGTATTAGCTGATGTAGACAGATGTAATTCACTGGCTTTTTAGTATATTGAGCTCTCTTCCTTTCTCTCTCCCCCCAAAAATGAAAGCTTTAAAAAATATAAAAAAAGAAAGAATTTTGAGATGTTTTGCAGTTATTTAGAGAGTCAAGGCTTTCCTCAGGGTTAAAACACTCTCCTGCCCCAAGTTCAAAGACCCCTCAAGAAATTATCTGCATTTACAATAACAATAATTTTGAAATGACACATACTAGTGTTTTCCAGCCATTTTGCCAAATATGTAATGGAAATAGGAGCATATAAAACAGAATAATCCTCTCCTTAGGTGTTAAAGAAGAGAGAAACAAAATATTTTTACTGGGTACATTTTTTCAGTTTTCATCATGCTCAGTTCACTTTCCTCAGTGTGCCCTATGCTCCAAATTTAATAAATTGTTCATAATTGTGCAGTTAAGTGTGAGTTTTAAAGATTTGTCCATGGCTTCTAACTCCTATTATTTCTCTAGGCTACCACTATTATTTAGTCAAGTGCTATTTGGTAAATGTTACAAATTTTCTTCTTTATTCTTTTGTTCATTATTTGTAGAAGAATCGTCTGGAGGAAGTAAAGAGACAAGAAGAAGAGTTACTGGAGGCCCAGTCCGTTCCATTACGAAACTATTTAATGAAGCATGTCATGCCAACACTTATGCAAGGGTTAAATGAATGCTGTAAGATTAGGCCAGATGATCCAGTCGATTTTCTGGTAAGGCGATTACATTTATTTTTCTTAAACATGTTTGAAGAAGCTTAATGAAAATATTCACTTAGACCCAAAGAATCTCTGATAACATAAATAATTAAATTATCTTCCCATTTTCATAATTACAATTCATTAATGGTTAGTACCTGCAATTCAGGAGAACAATCATTAGTGTTAAAAAGAATACAGCAGCTACTCTTTATGGGATGATTTGACACTTTGTAACAACTAAGCGGGTCATCTTGTTTTACTACACAGTAACAGGAGAAGAATCACTATTAGAATCTGCCCTGGTGTGCGCTCTCTCCCTGCCTTTCTTATGTACAATGCCAATTCTGCAGTGACAAAGAGGCCTGCAGAGAGAGGGACATCAGTTTCCACTCTGCTTATACAGGTCTAGGCACAACAGAACACATAGTTGTAATGATGAAAGAAGGTTCTTTGATAATCCTCTTCACAATACATAGATAAGCTCAAGAATAAATCCTGCAAGACATCCATAGAATTCAGGTACCTTGCAACCTGAATTACTCAGCAAATTTAGTTCAACCTTCTGCTTAAAGCAGGATCTACAGTGAATTCAGATGAGAACTTGCACACCACTGTACTGTACTGCTAGTCTTACTCCATTTCCTAGGAAATATATTAACGAGCAATATTTGTTTTAATGAAAAGAAACATTTTTAGTAGCTAAGCAAAAGCTTAAATTGAATGCATCAGTGTAATGTGCCATTTTAGACAGGAAGAAATGTTTAATTGTTTTAACATTGTTGATGATTGATATCTACCTGTAGTGGTAGAGGCGGGAGATCTTCCCTATTAATTGCATAACTTGTAAGAACTATATTATCTACTCTTTTAGGTCCAGAAGTGAGGCCCCAGGATACTCCCATGTAGGGGTTTCCATGGAGTGCAAATGCTGTCCTATTATGCCATGACAGAGATGGGGTCACTATTACCAAGGGGGAGAATGTGGTGGGTAGTAATTGTGGGGACAAGGTTTCTCTAACATCTCTGTCAGAGATTACATCTTAGAGCCATTTAATACTTTATGTGATTTTATTTAAAGCGATGTTATCCACTGTTTTTGTTAGTTTGCATAAATTTTAAAATGGAGCACTTGAAAATATATATAACTTTGAAAATCTTCTGTTCGTAGGCAGAATATCTCTTCAAGAACAATCCTGAAATCGAATCAGATAAACATTAAATCCTGACAGCTGTAGACGTCATGAAATAGAAAGGCAGAACATTCCTAATGCATTTTACCATAAAAATACTTAGTTTTGGGAAATGTTTTTGTTTAGGCTTATTATATAATCTTCATTTTTATTTCTCATACTGTACGATTATGTTGTATTTGGTCTCCAATGTTCCTTCTACAAGAGCAGAGTTTACTACACATCTTAATACACTTGTGCATCCATATGTCATTTATTTATTTTAAACTGTGAACCGTAAGAATCCGTTATGTCTCCAAAACTTTCTTCCTGGTTTATTTCAGTTACACAGTCTAACTAAGCAGGATATTCTTGCCCTCACCCATAGTAGAAATAGACAACTTGCCTGAGAAAAACTTTTCTTCACAAAGAGAGAGGTTATTTTTACTGAAAATGGAAATAAATAGAAGCAGCAAGTTCTCCTACTTCCTCTGCTCATTAAAACAGAGGCTTACAACACTAAGAACACATTTGGTCCTGCAGCAGTTTCAAGAAAAATAACCAAACGAGAATTTTTGCCTATCAGTTATCTTCTCTTTGCCTATCAGCTAACAACAGACAAAAGGCACGCAACACAGTCTCTTGTGTTGTACTGACTGCCTGGATCAATGTTTTGCCAGTAAAGATCTACCACAAATCTTGGGGCTTTTTTTTGGTACCATACAAATTGCTGTAATTCTCATGACATTTACTATTTCTTCTTCATTCAAGTTTAATATGTGTTTTTCATAGATTCTTCAAGAAGCATCTGGAGTTTCTAGCATGGTCACAGGCACTTTTCCCACTACAGTTTGGCTGCCATTCCCTTTTCTTATTGATTTCATACACCTTTCAGAGAAAACTGCTGATAAAAACTATGCTGACTGAGCAGAAACTGATATTATATTTAGTGTGAAACAAATATGTAAATATAGTATTTTGCCAAAACAGAAAACAAGGACAGTTGGGAGGAGGAGGGAAAAAAAAAACCTAAAAGAATGGTGATATAAAAACATTTTAGCTATTACTTTTAATATAAGAATTATTAATGCTCTATGTGCTTACCCAGACATTTCACTATTTTTACAGAAAACTAGTCTTAATTGGGCTGTCTTTACCGTCACACAAAGCGATGTCATTGATGAGAGAGCCAGGAACAGAACTCAGAACCATCACCTCTTATTGTGGGGAAAAAAAAAAAAGTAATAGGGAAGTACACTTCGTGTATGGCACCAGTTCAAGTTACCGTTTATCTTGTGAGCCCTTTGGAGACGAATTTGTAATTTGAGAGTCTTATGTTTCAGGACAAAGATTAAAAAATTGGACATTAAAACAAAAAGAGAGACAAAATAGGTTTTTGCTATAATACGTTTACTTTCCTAAGAAGAGATTTTTCTGGTAGAAACGTGTAAAGAGCTGGTGATTTTTCCCTTCAGTTTTGCTGAACGCTATGCCATCGCGCTTCCCGAAACAGTTACCAGAAAAGCGTGTCTCTGCTCCGTGCCGCCCGCGAAGGAGAAGTACACGCCTGACGGAGGTGACTACGCACGGCGGCAGGCAAAGCCTCGTTTTCCGCTCTGAAGCGCCGTGCGGACCAGCGCGGGGACGCCAGCCTGCCCAGGCCGGTCTGCCGCAGCCGGCGGCGCCCCGGCGCGGGGGCGCCGCGGCGGCTGTGGC